TGCGGAGAAACTTTTGAAAATGTTTCTTTGAAATATGTTGTTAGGTATACCTACGTTATGCTATTGGGGGCTTATATATTGTATATCCCATTAGTGCGTATTTGTTCAATATTTCAATTTGGATTTAAAAAATACGTATTTTAAAAATAATTTTGGGTGTTGCGTTTTTGCTTGGCAATTAAAAATGTATATTTTTCAAATTAAATTTTATTTCAGTTTTAGAATAATTTGGTAATACTGTCTTTAAACCTAGAATTTTTTAAAATATTACAGGTTTGCCAAGCATTAATTTTTTTTATGAAAATAGAGAATGAAGCAGACCCCGAATTAAATTATCAGAATTTAGGTAGGTTTACAATGATTTAAAAATTATTTAAAATACAGACTTATATAAGCTAACGAATAGTGGTGATAGAACATGTTTTGAAATATGTCTTAAATATGGGGTTCTAAAGTAAAAAATTAAGAGTGAGGATTTTCTCATGGACCTAATTAAAAGATTTTGGCCAAATTTATATGGGACCACCCCTGAAGTACCCCCTTTCTAACAAAAAAGAATCATTGAAATCGGACACCGTGTTAAAGAATTATTGCTGAACATACATAAAAAAAAATCGCGACGAATTGATAACCTCCTCCTTTTTTGAAGTCGGTTAAAAATAGGAGTAAAAGTTTTTATAAACATAGGTCCAAAAACGTTTCGTTTTCGAGATACAGGATGTTACAAGTGAAGTCCAGATGGCACATTTTTGTAAATATTTTCTAAAATTTCTTTAGACACCGGTTTTCCAAAGTTATTCGCTATAATAAAGCAAAAATGCAGTTTGTGTGAACAAATCTTAATTTGGCTAACAGTTATAAAAAAACAAGCATATTCAAAAAATAAATTTATTAAAGAATATATATATATAATACAAATCCAATATTTAAAAAATGTAATGTATATAAAAATTGTAATATGTATGAAGTAGCTGGATGGCTGCTACATATTCCAGGATACAACACTGTCCATCATTTTGTGAAGAACTTTATCTGTGAAAATAGAAAGACAGTATAAGTACAATCTCATTAAAATAAATGTATTAATAAAAAATTATAAGTCCGAGGAATACTTTATTTTTTAATAAGTCCAACATCGACGATACAGCTTTGCAACCCCAAACGTCACGAAACAGAAATTTCACAGTATATGCCGCGATTGAGAATCCACATCGGATGCATCTGAGATGTAGTAAATCTTTGATCACGTGATTCAGTATAAGAAAATGTAATCGGACATATGTGTCCGATTTTAAATAAACTATTTGAGGCGCTATTCTCCACATCTCAGCAAATGGGCTAAAATAATAATTTATAATGCTCTATTACCTCATTTTAATTATTGTGCCACTATACTGTATTTGCTCAACCAGAATGAGTTGCAACAATTGCAAAAGTAGCAGAATAGAGGTATGAGGATAAAACTGAGCTGTTCGAGATTGGAACCAATCAATTCCATGTTGAATGTGCTTCAGTGGTTGCCTGTTAAAAAATATTTGCTATTATATTCCCTGCTTTTTATATTTAAAATTAAATCAGGAATCTCCCCAGTATATTTACAAAATATTTTAAGTTATAATCAGGATGTTCATGAACATAATACACGTAATAAGAAAAATTTTAGAGTTTATAAGGCCACGAAAAAATGTAAACAAAATTCAGTGCTTTTGCCTGAGGATATTAAATGTTCTTCAAATGTGACAATATTTAAAATAAAACTGCGTGAATACCTGTTGACCTATTGACGTTTTTTATTTCTCTTTCTTGTTCTTTTATTGTTTTGTATAGTTGACATGTAAGTGTACTGTATTTTGTGTATTTTTATTGCATTTTAAATGTATGTTGATTCTATATTTATGTATTTTTTATATTTTAAACGTGAAGATGTATTGACATGTAAAAAATAGTTTTTTTGACTAAATAAACGATTTATATATAGGTATGTGGATAAAAAAACGCTCGAGATGTAAAAAATGCATCTGATGTGGATTCTCAAACACAGCAATAAGTATAAAATAAATGAGTAGAGTACTAACTTTCCTTCTCGAAAAGAAGTTCAACATATATTATTAGTCTGCTTATTCTTCTACGATACAGCTTTGCAACCCCAAATGTCATGAAACAGAAAATACACAGTATAAGTATAAAATAAATGAGTAGAATACTAACTTTCCTTCCAACATATATTATTAGTATGCTTCTTCTTCGAACCTTTACTTGAAGTAGAAGGTGTTTGATCAACATATTCAATTTCTACGTTATTTGAGGAAAGTCCATCCGCTACTCTTCCAGGAACTGCTGGGAGGAATAGCGTTGGAAATGCTTCAGGTGTTAGACCTCGACGAGATCCAACTACTTTATACTTCTCTTCAAAATGTTTATGACATACTACAAAGGTGGAATAAATTTGTAGTCTTGTTTTATTATTAAATCTTGGACAACGAACAGCAAGTGCACAAATATCAAATAAATCGGGTGAATTCGTAGGGTGGGGCAGGCGATGCATCTTGTTGTCCACATCAAGGCAATTCGGTACATATTTTCTATAATTACGCATCTTTATGAAAAAGCACAAAATAACAGCGGAAAACGCACAAATTTATAATGGAAAAACAAGCTTATTAGCAGTGGTCAACTAAATCAATTAAGCAAATTGAAAATGAAAACAACTGAATACAACAGTCACCAATATAAATAAACAAAGTTCACGTTTGGTTTAAGCCAAGACGCCATGACGCCCCTCACAAAAATCAATATTCACCTGTCCTTTACACTCCCACCACCTACCCCACCACCCGACTGCAGCGCCACGCGGACGTGGTTGATTTTTGCTCTATCCCAGGCCTGCGCATACTAGTTTTCCCTCTCTGAACGACACTGCCAAATTTATGTAGCGAACAAGACTCCAAATACTTTGAGGGGAGGTCACTAGATCCGTGCAGTGTGATGTCAGAAGGGACTGGATTGCTCTTAATGCGTAGATTGTTTCACGGATTTATATTTTTGGTCTAGTTGACTTGTCTTATTTTACTCTAGGCCGTTTTAAATGAGCTGAATCTGATTTCACAAATTCAGGATTCATGTTCAAACTAATGAATAATGATTATTAGACAGAAAAAGGAAAAACTAACTGAATAAATTATTTAAAGTAATGATGTTATAAACCGTAAGAATTAAAAACGAAAAGAAAGATTTTTCCGATAATTATCTAGTTTTGCCCCTGTAATTATAGAGTATTATTATAATCCTTGTTTTGGACCCCTTCGAAAAATTTTCCCCAGAACAGGTAAAACAACATTTTGATTATTTAACTGTTGGGAAAATTAATAAATAACCATGGAATCTCATGGAGTAAAGTTGGTAAAACTGTTAAATAAAATATAGTGCAATTTATTTAAGGGTTGATTCTAGTCAAAAAAAATATTACTTAAGGTTGTAGCGTTTTTTTGATAACTCAAAAATATCGAAATTACAGGGTGTTGAAAAAAATATGTTTTGATGATTTTTCTTAATAAATTTTTTCTAGTTCGCCAATTAACTTTAAATTTGGTACACTTATTAGTAATAGTGTTTCGTAGTTTTGAAGCAAATTTGATATAAATCCCATAATGCCAATATGCCTTAGCAGCCCATGACTTAAACATGTCTTGCTTACTATACTGTAGATCATAGACAGTAATTGGACGCGTTGAATGATTTAGGAATACAAGGAACGACGATTAAAATGTTCAACTCATATCTACAAAATTGTATAAGCTCAGCGCAAGTTGTGAAATGTAGAGTTCCGCAAGGGACAGTTCTGGCACCAATTCTCTTTAGTCTAAATTTAAATAATTTACTTACTCAAAGCGTTACTGGAACCGAATATAGTTTTGTTGATGATACGGTATTATTTTACACTGCTGAGACTTGGTCAGATCTGAAACAGAAAATAAAAGAATCGTTTTGCATGAAAAAGACATAATAAACATCTGAAAGTATTTTTTAAATACTTATATAAATATTTTTTTTTATAGTAATATAATTTTTAATATTGCCGAAAAATATAATAAATACGGCAACAGCGTATTCTGTAACAGACAAGACGGAACGGCCATATCACGCATGTGAAAGTTACGCGTCTTTCACGAGTTTGACATTTTCCAACTTTTAAAGATTTTTATTGTAATTTCAGTGTCTTAAACTGTAAAATAAAATGATTTTTTAAATTAAGTTAACTTAAAAGTATTTAGGTTATGTTTAATTTACAAAATTTGAGTATAAGTGAGTTGGTTTATATGTATTAAAGTGATTTATTATAAACGAACAAGGCTGTTAGTTTATATGTGTGGTTACAAGGCAGAAACTGATATGTATTGTTTTTCTATAAAAGACATTTTCTTGCCGATATGTCTATAAAGATGTAGTCCTTGTTGTGGCATAAGCTGATACTTCTAAAATATAATAAAAATCAACATAACACCATTGGCATGTACTGATATGTCTACAATCTCATATGTACAATCTGATATGTAGACATATCATGTTTTGACTCGTCCGATTTTTATTGAAGCGCCAAGATAAAATTTGATGTCACTTTGAACTCAGGTTTCGACGAGTTTTAGTTTTAGACGTGGTCATAATGCGTGCAGAGCAAGGTCTTGTAGAACTATTCGGATGTTTTTATAAATTAACAAAAGAAGCACAGGAACAGATTATTTTCAATGAAATCTCATTGGTCAAAAAGGAAACGAAACAGAAAGGACGCTCTAAAACAAGAAAGGAACATTTTAGAGATATAACGGCCATATACCAAATAAAAATTGATAACAAACTTGTTAAAGTCTGTAAAAAAAATGTTTCTGTGTGTTTATGGACTTTCTAGAGGAAAAATTGATGTTATTTTCATGAAAGTGAAAGCCAGCAATGACTCGTTATTGCCTCTTGGAGATATGCGTGGGCGTCACGAGCCAAAAAACAAAATGACAAAACAACGTGAAGCAATGAGAGAATACATAGAGAAATATCCACAGTATGACAGTCATTACACTCGGAGGGATACCATAAAAAAATATCTGTTAAGTTATCTTAATATAAGGAAAATGTATGAGGAATATAAATACGATTGTGATTTGTCTGGCAAAATGAACTGTGGATCGTACAGCTTGTTTACCGAGGAGTTCAGAAAAACTAGTTACAAGTTTAAGCAACCCAAAACGGATACTTGCAGAACATGCGATTCTTTTATGCTCAACTTGAAACAGTGCAAGAATTCAGAAGAGAAAGCGAAATATCAAAGTGATTATGAGGTTCACACAAAACTGGCTGATGATGGTTATGAGCAGAAACGGCTGGACAAAGAGAGTTGTATTCGTGATGCAAGCAGAATTGTACTCGTTTTTGACTTACAGCAAGTTCTTGATACACCATCGCTGACAGTTAACATATCATTTTATAAACGCCTTTTGTAAACCTATACCCTGACAGTGTCATGAAGTAATTGGTGAAAGAGGTTCTGAGCAAATAGCATCCTGTTTATTTAAAAAGCTTCAGTGTATTGCTGATTCAGTTTCGCATGTGATTACATATTCAGACACCTGTGGTGGTTAGAATAGAAATATAAATATTGCTATTATGTTTAGTTACGTTGCAACTTCTCACAAAAATATTTCTATTATTGACCAGAAATTTCTTCTTTCTGAACATACTTATCTAGAATTGAAAGAGCGAAGAAATCCTACAACGTTCCAAAAATGGTCCCCAGAGATTGGTACACATTTGTGGCATCAGTCACAGAGGCAAAAGGCCTTTCACAGTTGAAAAAATGACTCAAAAAGACTTTATTTTCTTTTCTAAGTTTTTAACAACTCATTTGGTTAAAAAAAGTTTAGATACAGAAAACGAAAAGGTTAATTGGCTACACATTAGATGGCTGCGATATGAGAAAAAATTTGAAATTATAAAATTTAAACGTTCTCTTTCAGAGGAAGCGTCTTTCAGAATTTTAAATTTATGGCGTACACGACAGTCAAGTTCAAATAGATTGGAAAAAAACATTCAGTTCAATAACAATGACTTGAGGCTACCTTGTTGTTGTTACAATGGACCACTCCCAATAAATACCTTTAAAAAGAAAAATTTGATTAGTCTTATCAAAGAGAAACTCATTGTTGAAGACTGTCACGATTTTTACTATAATCTGCAGACATCTGTAGAGGCACCTGAGTTGGCATTTTTTGACGATGATAGTGACTCAAACGAAGAAGACCAGTAGTATACTTTGTATTTTTTATTGTTATAATATTTGAATATGTTTAATGTGACCCAATTCAATTTTTCTTAATTTTTAGTGACTTGCTTTCTTTGTTATGTCTGAAATATACATGAAAATACATAATGGCAAAACTTGATATGTCAGTAATTTTTATAAAAAAATTAAATAATAATCAAGTATTAGTCAGGACTTTTCACCTTCCAGTTCAAATAATATCTCTAGAAAAAATCACAACAAATAAACTTTGCAGAGCGTTGCTAAGCTAATGCTCTGTATCATAAATCTTTAAACTAGCTCTCCTGTAAAATTAGCAAAAAGTGACATATCAGTTTCTGCCTTGTCTTCACAGATAATATACTACTGATTTTAATTTTGTGCAGTAATATTAATATTAGTTTAAAAATTTGAGTATTAACATAGATTTGAAAAACATTTTACTGTAATAAAAGGTGCTATATTCTGTCTAGTTGTTATTTTAAAAAGTAAAAACAGTTTTATTAAGAAACAATAACGAAGAAACTGTTTAATAAATATAAAACTCAAAGATTAGTTAGATTAGCGAGCTTTTATTGGCTGAAAAAACAAAATTTTACTATTTTAACATCAGTAAAAACTCATTAAACGGTTAGAATCTTGAGTTCTTATTGACTGAAATGACAAAATTTGACTATTTTTACAGATGAACAAAATATTCTGAATAAAACAGCAACTCGGGTTCTTATTGGCCGAATTTACTAAATATGACGCAAAGGGAACTTTCTTAGTAAAATATGTATTTTTATAACAGTAATAAAAAGTTATTTTCAAAATGTTAAATTAATACCATATTAAGGATATGAGGTAAAACTTGAACCACAAATATTCAGTCGTACACTTTTCCCTTTTCTATTTTTTACGATATTATAGATTCTAATATATTGAATAATTTCACTATAAAAATTTGCATACTTTTCAACTAACCATGCATATGTATATGAAAGTTTAGGGATATCTCCATAAAATTTATGTTAATATTTTCGGCAAGCTTTAGCCGGTCACGTTTATTGAAAATTCAGGACTTTTATTACATTTTCTCTCTATATGCTTCTGCGCCATATGGTTTATTCGATTTCCATATTCTTTTCTTTTGCTGAAAAATAGAGTATTGATAAAGTATGACGAGAGAAAACTTGACCACAAATCTCTAGCAAGTATGCAATTTGTAGAATTTTCTTCCGTTATTGATGACTATATTTTCACACAAATATTTAGAAATGCGGTCGAAGACAACATATATTTTATATTTAAAACTTAAAGAATAATTATACAGAGTGTCAAAGTTTACATTTATTGTTAGTGCAGCCTACGCAACATATTTTATAAAACTTAATATTGTTTATATTATTATAGGTATATAAGATTTAGAGTAACATACTGTATAATGTATTGACTAATATTTCAGAGATCTTAAATTATTCAAATGGGAAGTGAATCTTATACAGAGTAATAATTTGACACTCTTTGCCTATTAAATTATTCACTCTGAACAAAAACTCGTTGAGTTCAGTGTATCTTCAATAAAAGTTAGTTATTAATATAAAAGTATTATACTGTTTTAGAATAAAGACTATATCAGAAATGGATGTTTTGCAGAAATACATTTGATAATTCCACTTACCTCGTCGGATATCGTCATCACCAGGTTAATTTTTCTAGTATTCTTTTATTTGATCTATATCCCCGTTATTAATGTACCATTTGGGAACGCAAGACCGATGCAAGGCGACACCAGCAGGCATCAAGGCAGCAAACACTGCCGTGCTAAATGTACTGTCGCATTTCTTTCATCAGTCTCGCTTTTCCAAATAAGTTTCATTTAATTACATTTTGGTCGCTTGCCTTATGTCTCCTGTTTCGGTCTCGCGTTTAAAATTGGTGTCTTTATGGTCATTGTATTTGCATTAATTCTTTAAGGATGTGACGAATTTCTCTATAAGGTAGGGATGGGTATATTGTCGTTTTTCAGGATTGTTTGGAGCTTCCAGGTGTTTGGAGATCTAGCTCATGAAGGTTTTTTTTACAGAGTCTTTCTCTATGTTATTCTAGGTTGTTTGCTCGTCTTTTGTAAAGTTGGTTACTAGAGCAGTTTGCTCTTTCACCAATTTTTCTTTTTTTCTATATATAATCAGGTTCCTCAGTTGGTGCAATGCCTGTTACATAACCATCTATATTGATGTTCTATCGCTTGATTAACGTCTGCCTGGTTCTTAGTTCCTGGAATCAGTATCAGGTTTATTTCCACTAGTAGTTTGAATTGCATCCACTCTGTCTTTAATACTGTCCTCGGTATTGATTCTCGTTCTCCTTCTTCTAGGTAAAGTAGAATAGGGTTGTGAGTTTCATATTTCTTAAAAAAATTAACACTCAGTAAAAGTTTAAATTATCTATTTAAAAACAATTTTATACAAGCAAAAACAAATAAGCTATTATTTCGAACTGGTGTATCCCTATTCTGCACCCCTGACCTATTTGTAAGTGGTAGCTTGTTTAATGTTTTGACATTAGTTAACTAACTTGTGTAGATCATATCTATTACATATCAACTTTGTATCTCAATGCGTTGTGCTGTGGCTAATTCTTGAATTGTGTGTCGTGATTGTTCATAAAAATGGATCCTGTAGAACAAAGAGTCGTAATACCTTCAGAAAAAAGTCACGACGCCAAATCAAAATTAGAAAGATATTGTGGTAACTATTGGGGAGTCTGAAGTTTCTTATGACATAGTTAAATGCTGGTTTCGAGATTTTAAATGAGGAAGAACATCCTGTGAAAACCAGGATGCTGGTGGTCTTCACATACTGATAATAACATACATAACATTAAGAAGGTACACGATATCGTACTGCAAGACAAACGAGTACGCATCAGAAATATTGTGAAAGATACTGGCTTATCATATCATTAGATATAAAAAAATAAGTGTAAGATGGGTGTCCCGAATGTTAACCATTGATCAAAAAATCGAGTGTTGACTTGTGAGCGACTTTTGGAAAGGCTTTTTCCACAGAGAAGAATCCTCCTCATAGGAGACCCCTTGTAGGATATTCCCAGTAGCAGCTCCTGCTCAGGATCTCCATAGTTTAAAGTGAAAGTCTTATTTTAAGTAGCAGTTTTAATGGTTAGGCAAGAGTTGTGACATGTGCCCCAAATATTAGTGGAGTTGGTAAGTTTACATTTTGTGTACTTTACGTTGAGTTGATATTTGTGTGTCGAGCTGTGACCTATTTTGTATCCTTATGTTAAATATATACTATATTTGTTTTGAGAAAACATTGTGTCTTCTTTAATCTTCAGAGGTTTTAATTGCCAAATAAACCCTCTATATAGTTAATGGCCACGAAGCCAAGTTTAAGGCGATATAGGTGCGAATTTATATATTGTGCTTAATAACCTCCGGCACACAGTCCCATAATTATTTAAAATACTTAAAACGTGACATTTTTATAACAAGCAAATAAAGAGACCTTTCTTAGTCGGTGTAGTGCCATGGACGAATTATGAGTGCACCACTATGACTCCAATACCAAAGCGCAAAGTAAAGACGTGCGGTTTACTGCTAAAGTTTTTCTGTCTGTGTTCTGGGAAGCTCAAGGAATCATCCTGACTGACTATTTGCAAAAGGGATAGAGCATTGTAGTAATAATAAACTTTAGTGGTTTGCAGAGGTCGGACAAAAATTGTTCCAGGAACCTGTTGAAATGTTAAAACACCGATGGACTAAGTGCATTTGTGTAGAGGGAGACTATGTCAAAAATTAAAAAAAATATAATGACACTGTAATTTTATTGCAGCGGAGTCAAAGAGTGCAGCATAACCTGAGTCACCTCTTACTCCAAGTTTGGAAAAACCAACAAAATCATGAGTATGAATGAAGGTAAGGCTCAAAGTACAACCATATGACTGGTTGCAAATAGTTTCCAGAATAGTTCAAAATCCACGCATATGACAATAAGCCGTTGCGAATCACTCCTCATAGAAATAAAGTAAATCAATGTTAGAAACTCAGTAGCCCACTTTAAACTCGACAAACTTCAGCTAGGATTGGAAAATATAAGTATCCATTTTTAGTAATAAATCAATAAAATAATAGATAATTAAAAAAACCTATGTTACAGTAGCATTGCGAGGGTACTGCACATGCACTCATTGCTACTCCTA